GCACATCCCAGTTTCCCACGCATGTCTTTCGAGTCGTCCTACCTCCCCTCCGCATCTCCGAAGCTAGCTAACCTCCCCCACGCATTTGCATTGATGCCATCACCATTTCGCTGAAAGGGTGCAAATGAGCAGCGCGCGTCTTCGCCGAAAGCGCGTTCCATCCGAATTAGCGTTGTACATTCGCTTTGCTACTGTTCAGTTTTGTTGACGCGCTTGCGCGCCAGACAAATAGCGCTCTCCAAATTGCTCATGTCCCATGCGGCGAAACAGGCCACAACCTACGCTGTCGTCAACGTCTTAATGCTCTAGCGAAATGTAGGGTCGTCCACCAATGATGTCCAATGACATTGGTGGATCGGCCCGTGCCGCCCTCCAGCCATCACGAACACTACTTTTGGGATTCCATTATGTTTCTCCATACTGCTCTCAATTAGTTTTCAACTCATGTTCTTTTCAAATCCAGTCAGTAGGAAAAAGTGTGGCTACAAACTTCCGTATCTTCCTTCGTTAGGACCACTTATGTTTAGCCCTCATAATTTCACTTTTGCTGTTCATCAGCACATCTCGTCATGAGAACGCTATTGAAATATCCAACAGTTGTTGACACAGCCCTCTTTAAATTTCAAACCCACCTTTTCTGACTTTCCCGGCAAGTACTTCAATTACTTGTAGTTTAGAAGTGTGGCATAATGAGCAGGCAGTGCATTCTTTTGGACAACCGAGGGTGAAGATGCAACTGTAGTCTATCGCCTGAAATGTTCATACATTGATATCTAAAGCGGAGCATCGAAGAACAATGCATCTTAGATGTTTAAAATGCGGTTTGAACAATATAGTGAATGCGGTACGGGCGTAACTCTTGTCAGGACCTTATCAAGCAAATGTGGCACAATCAAGCCGAAGGGGAATCAGTGGAAGGAACAGAAACGATTTCTCAGCATGGTTTGTAGGTTCGCCCCACCGTAACCACGTTCATGATGGGGCGCCACTGTCACGTGTCACCGATCTTTTTCGTCGTTTTCTCAGCGCACTGCACGGCGAGAGCCACGATTCTATCGTTAACTACAGGGGGGGGGCAAAAAAGAGTCACTTTGCCCATGGCGCATATCATCAAACTTTTCGTCGCAAAGGATGCCGCTGTTATTGGGAGTTATACGGCGAATTATTCCTTAGATGTCCCCCCATAAGCAGAATCAGGCCCACCTTCGCTGCCTTCACCGTCTCCAGAATATGACGTCATCTGTCATCACCGTCGAGCTCAAGGAGGCCTACCATAATCGCTCCATTCTGAAGCTGCTACATAATTTCTTCAATCGGATAACTGGTGAATGGCTTCTTAGGGACACTAGCTCTGACTATGCAAATGGCTTTTGACCAGCGTTTCAGAGACGTCGTAATCGTCTATGGTTTCTCGACGACCTCGTACCGTGAACCATGTTTCCGTGGGAAAATCTTCTGATGTCGTCGGTGTAGAAGGCCCCATGTAATTTTTGATAGAATAGAATGTGCTCTTCAATATGCAATTGAGCTCATTCGGTTTGGTTTTGGCAAAGTGTAATTAATTCTGTTTTGAATGTGAGTGAGAGTGACTCTTTTTTGCCCCCCCCCCTGTATACGGTTCACCGTCCATGTAGAACGCCAGCCATCACTGATCCATTGTCGACGACCGCTTGCTGGTGGCGAGTCGCCATTCACCAGTTGACGCGATGATACCAGCCCAAGGCGAAGGACCCTCTCCCTGGGGCCCAGGAGGGCGGAGTGTCCATCTCCCCAACGCCGGTCGTGTCCTCCTCCGATCAGCCCTGGTAGAAAACACGTCTTCCCAAGCAATTCACAGAAGGTCCTGCGGAGAGTCCGCACGAGCGGGCCCTGGCTGAAGCATAGAGCGTGGGGAGCGAAGACTACGGTTGCGACACCTCTAACATGTTATTGAATAGGCTCGCGATTTTAACCCATAACGGGCGGCGTGCGCCACATGGTGGCGCACGACCTTCAGAATGAATTTTTTCATTTTTGCAGCACTTCAAGTAATACAAATATACCATTGTATACTTACAACCTAGTAGAATAATATATGTTTCCAGGACCGGAATAGCTTCATTGTTTGTAAATCTACAACGTTCCCAATAAAACCATCTTCATTTCTCCCTATTATTCACTACACTTCAATAGTAACAATAGTATTTCCAAAACAGCTAGAGATTAAAAACCTGCATCCTAGAAACCATGGCTAAATGCGACGATAGAAAAAGAAACAGAGGAAATCAAAGAAAAAGAGATACCTGAAAGTACGACTAGGAATTGCACGCAACCCGATGTAGGGATACCCGTAAGAACACCCGGAAGCGCAAAACACAGAGTACTCGGAGTTCGGGCACAAAAACGTTTTCCAGCGCCATTAGCACAAGCCTGCATAAAACCTACGCTGGGTGCCGGCGTGTGAGGCGGTAAGAAAAAGCCGGATGGCACACGGGTCCGCTCACGCAGAAACGTCGCCGTCCGTTATTGGTTGATCTAATGTAAGACTCGTGGGTCTTAACGAGGGTTTCGATTTATATTTTCAAACACGTGCACATTTCATGCTCAGTTTAGAAATTTCTTTTTGCAAGGCTATGGCTCCCCGAGTAGTCTATGCTTCCCTTTCTCCTGCCTGGAATAGAGCCTCTTATGATCGGAAACCTGTCTAGTCATTTACTGTGCACTCGAGTCGCTAATTTTTGTCTAAAAGTCGCGCCCAGGAAATTTGCAAGGAAAAACATCAGAGGCGCACACGCAACGAAACAGAAGAACTGTTCATCCTGTCTGCATGGAGCACGCCATCGAACCCAAATCCGTTTACAGTACTGTCCTATTTCAGGATGAACAACACTTGGTCGATTCCTTACCTCAGATTCTCTAAGTTTGAAAATTCGATACAACGCTTATCAACTCTGAATACAACTGAAAACTGTTTCTTTCGTGTGTTTTCGTTGTGGTGGGCGAGTTGTGTAAACTAGTAAGCGGGGTCTGTGGAGTGGGACCTCTGAATTCGTTGAGAGGTGTTGCGCGCCTTTCGTAGGGGTATTTTGGCTCACACAGAGTTGATAGTCAGAAAAAAATGCTATATAAGCATTCCGTGGGGCGGACAAACAGCTAAGTGAAAGCGCGCATAACACAAGAACATTTTGAGGTTTCCAAGCAATTCTTTCTCGAAGTGTGATTATACTTCAAATGAGAGCTCCACTCAATTTCACCTTACAAACTCGTTGAAACTGGCATCTATACAGGATCTGCGCCATCCTATCGAAGGCTGGGTCCTATCTACCTTACCATGCACATAGAGCCGCGGGGCTGGCAAGACCTCGTGGGGTAGAGCTGCGTGCTTCTTGCATCATCTATGCATATTTTTATATCCTTAAAAAAATTATATTTGCTAGAGTTTTCGTGTTCTTAGGATACCCACTGCCTCAGACCTCATGCCGCTTCATGGCGTCACTAGGGTACGCTAGCGTTTACTGTGTGAAATATACCCATAAAACTGAGTTAAGGAACCGTTCATTCGACTATTCATTTCAGTGAAATGGTACACACTAACTCTGTCTTGAACAGAATGTATGTGTATGACTCTCCGCCGGGACCTAGGAATGTGTTTCATGACCGACCACGCATCCGGGTAATTAACCTAGGAAAGAATCCAATCTGAGCCTTGAATCAGAAGTTACGTTCTTTCTGAGACACACAGAACACCAGTTTCTCAACATACAGTGCGTACCAAAAGTATGTGGACACCCTGGAATCGATTCTCAGGGGTCAGCTAAAGGCTTTTATGTCATGAAACCTCCACCATTCAACTCCTAGTGGTCGATAACCTACAATGATATTTTCGGCAAAAGATTTCGTTCTAACTTAGCGAACTATTTTTCATGGAAAGTTTTTTCTTTGTATCAAAATTATGTGGACACTTTTTGAAAAACGGCAATATCTTCAAAATCTGAAATCGGTAGGCCTACCAAAGTTTCTAGTAAGTTGAGCCATTCTGTTTGGCATGCTATGAATGGGTCTGGATACATGTCTTGCAGATCTGTTCCCAACTAGCAAATTTCACCGACGTGTTAGGTCACTTGTGACCATATACTCTTTGTTCAATGACGGCCGAGCAACCGCCACGAATTCACATACCCTACGTTTTCAAGGAAGTGAAGTCTGAGGAATACGCTAGCCGACTTGCCAATCAAAGCCGTTGCGTTTAGCATTTTTCCAAATGGAATGGTGTCAGGGACCTCCCCTGCAAAACAAGTGATTTGCAACCATGACTTTTCGAAAAAGGTTGTAGCCGGGACTCAAGCACCTCATTATAATCCTAGTCGTCTACCTGACATGTTGGCAAGCCAAACTTCAATGTCCCCTCCTTTTGGAACCACCCCAGACCTTTGATGAACATCTTCCGAATTGTCTCTTCGAGCACATCTGCGGGTCCGACCAAAGTCTCTCCAAAAACCACAAGACCCACCCGAATAGTAAGGAATAAGCTTCTTTCTGCCAGTCGAGTTGGTCTATGAGAGAAATTTCTACTGAAAGTCTTTTGTATTAATTTTATCATTTCCACGAGAGCACAATCTGTGTGGGTTCAAGATATCATGTTGTGATCCCTTTTTGAGTGAGAATTCCAACTTTGCCA